AAACAATGGTTATAAGGATGCTCAAGGAATTTAGTGATAACATCAAGGAACTCAATGGCAACTTCAAGAAACTTCAAGAGAACATCAATGACATAAAAAGCACCAATCAAAAGGAAGCATACACTACCTGAAATGAAGAATAATTTCAGGGAATCAATAGTAAAGTAGAGGACACCAAGATTCAAATCAGTAATTAGGCATATGAGGAATCAAAATCCATCCCATCAGAACAGCAAAAAGAAAATGGGAGGTAAGGAGTGGGACTGGTGAGTATAGATATCTAACCTCAGAAGTGTTGCTGCAAAAGGGAGCAGAGATAGAGGGCTATGTAGGCTCAATAGAGAGTTATTTGTAATGGACGTTATCAGGGCAGTTTGCACAATGGTGGGGCAATTGCAAAGAGGGAGAGACCCAGGATGCAGAAGACAGCCTACCTTGGAGCAGTGAGAGGAATGAGATGGAGACTGCATGTGTAGACACTGCCATTGGCAGGAGCAGAGGCCCTTCCTCCCGGTGATAGCAGGGCAGGAAGAAGGAATGGACCTAGGGGAAGGTGTGGGCCCGGACAAGGGGAGAATTTTGTATGAGATTGTTTCTACTCTCTCAGTGTACTATGCGGCCAATACTGAGAGCAGAGATGAGCAGAAGGTGAGTGGTCAGGCACCTGTGCTACGGCTTTGAAGAGAGAGGAAGAGAAATAAAATAGAAATAGTCATTTTGGAGGGTGGGGACATCAATCCAGAAAAATTGCAGACTGGTAACTAAGATGGCCTGGCAGACTTGAGGGCCATCTGAGATTTGTCATTATGAATTTAAATACATTTTTATTCATTTCAGACAGAGGGAGAGGGAGAGAAACATCAACGATAAGATGGAATCATTGATTGGCTGCCTCCTGCATGCCCCCTATTGTACATCAAGCCCATAACCCAAGCATGAACCCTGATAGGAAATTGAACCCTGACCTCCTGGTTCATGGGTCGGCGCTCAATCACTGAGCCACACTAGCCAGATGTGATTATGAATTTAAAGTGAGATCTGTCAGCATGCCTGTGGGTTGTTGTTTTTTTTCCCAGCAATATAACCTGTTTTGGTACTGGTGAGGTATAAGGATATATTAAGAGGGCAAAGTCATATTTTTTCACATTGAGAAAGACAAGGTATGAGTGCTTTAATGAAAATGTTTATTTTTTTTCAACATGGTAAGTTCACACTGGCGGTTAATTAGCAATTATTTCAATACTTTCAAACTCATCTGCCTCCAACTTTAGTTATAATGCATGAATGTAAGCTTATAAAGTTAAGAAACAGCAACAGCTAATCTAATCCTTCTTGATATTCCTTCATGACCAGCAAGATAGATAAAAATTTCTTTAAAAGGCTAAAGTAGATGGATATATAAATTGTGAGTTCAAGCTGTATAAAAGTAACATTTCTAAGAAAACATTTAAACCAAATATCACACTTAATAAAAACAATATTCTTAATCAGGCTGTGTCATTTTCAGCTATTTGGCATTCTGTCCCGTTGTCAATTTGATATTGCCCAACAAAGAATGGTTATCTTTTATGATTTGGGAGATGAATAAACAGATGAACACATCAAATGCCTACTCAGCCAAGATTTTGCCCGATATCAGTGTGTTTTAAGATAGTCTATTGTTACATATTTATCAAATATTGAGAAATACTGGTGTCATTCAAGATGAAGTCATTGATTAAGAACTGAATGTACTGGAGACGTATTTGGTAATAAGATTTTAGGTAAATTTTCACCAGCCTTAGCTCCATCAGCACACTGAAACATGTTGTAGACTTACTACCCAATAATTAACATGTTAGACAACATTAACCTCTTAGAAGAAAGACCATATTTTGCTCCTGCTTCTGTAAAAACATTGTTTATTTGAAAGAAGTGTGAACTTTTACTCAACTACTACTCCCTTGATATGAAAAGGAGACAAGAGGAGCTGAAGAAGGAAAGCTGTCCAGTTACACTCCACAGCCCTGGACATACTGACTGACGTCTCGGTTTTGACAACGGTTTCTCCAGGCCACCCTGTAGGAAAAGGTGAAATAAATGGTGATAAAGTTAAAGCATACCTTCATTGTGATAGACATACATCAAATCCTTTGTGAGGAAAAACTATTTTAACACTATATGAAATACAGGCTATTAGATCCAGGTATTGCTATTTATTAAATGGAGATATGTACACTAAATACTTCACTTCTCCCCCAAAGACTTGGCTACAGCATAGTATGCTGACCACAAGAGTCACGTGCATTTCCTAACAGCCACTGCAAAGTGCATTCTACATTTACCTCATTCCAAACATTTCAAAACAGCACAAGGAACTGGTAGAATGTGGAGAATCTTAAAAATTCTATAAGTCCCCCAAATTAATGGAGGAGTAAGAGAAAAATATTCTGAATCCCTTAAAATAGATTGCTTCTAAGACATACTTTGTTTAGCATAAGTCTAAAGCTACTACTTTCAGTTCTCAGTAGCATACTGTTGTCCTTGAAAATCTTCTCTCACCTCTCTCCTAACACAGGGCAAAAAAGCTCTCCCCTTTAACGCTTACACATACCATGCTCTGATGCCTTGTGGATCCCTGACAACCCTCTTTGCACAGGTTACAGCTTGAGTGATGTCATCTTGAAGCAAAACTGAAAAACAGGTGGTGAGGAATGAAGACAACTTTCACAGACATTTCATTTTAAGTTTAGGTTTACCCATTTTATTCTCTTAGGCTAAGAAATGGACACTCAAATCCTTTTACACAAGTTATGCATCTGTGAATGTTGGGAGAAAACTCAGATACCAAAGTCATTGGAATTTTTAGAATTATCAACTAATAGAGGCCCAATACACAAAATTTATGCACTCGGGGAGTGGGGGGAGGGGGTTTCCTCAGCCCAGACTGTACTCTCAGTCATCCTTAGTGCTGCTGTTGAGGCAGACGAGGCTCCCACCACTGCTGTTGCACCAGCCAGCCATGAGCCCAGCTTCTGTCTGAGCAGCTCCTGTATTGAGCATCTGCCCCCTGGTGGTCAGTGTGTGTCATAGTGACTAGTCATTCTGCTGTTGGGTTGATTTGCATGTTAGCCTTTTATTATATAGGATGTGATAGATAGTTCACTTTATAATAGGCACTACTATTAATAGAAGAAACAGAGGAACTAACCTAGTAATTTAACCTAGTAATCAGCAATTCTACTACTAGAAATTACCCCTAAAGAAATAAGAGCCCTGGCCAGTTTTTCTCAGTGGTTAGTGCCGACCCACAGATCTGAAAGGTCGAAGGTTGAATTCACAGTCAAGGGCATGTACCTCGATTGCAGGCTTGATCCATGGCTTTAGTCAGAGCATATTTGGGAGGCAATCAATCAGTGTGTCTTTCTCACATTGATGTTTCTCTCTCTTGCTCTCTCTCTCTCCCCTTCCCTCCACTCTATCTAATATATATATATATATATATATATATATATATATATATATATATAGGGAGGGGGGGGCAATGGTAACATATGTACACAGATAATAATTTAATAAAAATTTTAAAAAGAATAATGCATGAAACCTTAGATAGTTTTAACCTAGATACATTAAAAAATAAATAAATAAATAAATAAATAAATAAATAAATAAAATATAGCTGATACCGGTTTGGCTCAGTGGTAGAGCGTCGGTCTGCAGACTGAAAAGTTCCGGGTTCGATTTCGGTCAAGAGCATGTACATTGGTTGCGGGCATATCCCCGGTAGGGAGTGTGCAAGAGGCAGCTGGTCGATGTTTCTCTCTCATCGACGTTTCTAGCTCTCTCCCTTCCTCTTTGTAAAAAATCAATAAAATATATATTTTTAAAAATAATAAAATATATATATGAAAAAAATCCATTAAAAAATAAAATAAAAGAATAAAATTTTAAAAAAATTAATAAATGTAAAATAATAAATGTTGGTATTTCTTAACATATAAATAATTTTGTGTGATAAAGAACAAATTGTAAAGCAATATAGTAGTACAATTTCATTTTTGTTAAAACACACGTGCCTGGCTAGTGTGGTTCAGTGGTTGAGCATCAACCCATGAACCAGGAGAACATGGTTGGATTTCTGGTCAGGGTAAATGCCCAGATTGTGGGCTTAATCCCCAGTAGAGAGAGTGCAGGAGGCAGCCGATCCATGTTTCTCACATCAATGTTTCTCCCTCTCCCTTCCTCTCTCTCCAAAATAAGAAATAATAATAAAATATAACCATAAAAAACACCACACATTATTTACATGTTTATATGTAGGTATATTTGTACATGACACAGCTATATTCACATATATTATTGATATCTATTCTATCTTGAACAATATATACCCAAAGTTACTAGTAGTCATAAATCTCTTGGTAGTAAGAATTTTTATTCAGTGACCACAGATTATTACATAATACAAAATATTTTTAAGATAAATTAACTGGATACAAAAGAATATTCTAAAAATAATCTTTTCTATCAGAATTTTAACATTTAGAAATTTAACAATATCAATTTTATAATATTTCTCCAATATTTTCATTTTTATGAATTTATTTTATTTTTTAAAGTCAAAGTCACCTCTTTTTTTTTAATCCTCACCTGAGGATATGTGGCTTTTTTTTTTTTTTTTTTTTAATTTTAGAGAAAGAAGGAGAGAGAGAGAGAGAGAGAGAGAGAGAGAGAGAGAGAGAGAGGAGAGAGAAACATTAATTGGTTGCCTTCCATACCCACCCAAACTAGGGATTGAACCCACAACCTAGGTATGTGCCCTGTCGAGGACTCGAACCTGAAACCTTTTGTTGTGTGGGATGATGCTCCAACCACCTGAGCCACCCAGCCAGGGCGAGATGGAGTTTTCTAGGTCCCTGTTGAATTTTTGAAAAGCTTTTCATTTGTATTGAATCTCTACTCTTGTAAGCATAACCAGATGGGTCATGTGCCATCACTTAAATGCTACTTTCTCTTACCGTTGCAGGATATGCCACAGGCGTTAGCTGATCTTGGAGTTTTGCCATCATTACACCAGTAGCGGCTATTGATCTGAAATATCCCATAATCAGTGCTTCTATCTCCAGGATTGTAGTTTGTAGCTCGTGTGTTGTAACTACTTTCCCATCTGGCCAAACACATCCCTGAAAAGAACATGCTTTTAGTAATAAATAACAACACCATATGACTTATACTGCATACCATAACCAGTTCTATAAACTAATTTTATTTTATTAATGACTTACTGTATAAGTATGAAGATGTAGAACATATATCCATCAAACTATTCACTCATGCATTCAAAAATAGTCATTAAGGGGAAGTGTTTGAATTCAACTTAAACATACAGTGATAACATTGACAATAAGGGGCTAAAATACAAAGTAACTTTTATACAGGTACATCTTGGTTTGCATAGAAAAAAATGAAAACAGTTAATCAACTAGAATGAGTAAGAATAATGAAACGGCATTTCATGCTGCATTTCAGGGATCCTGACACAAACAGTGATTGAGGGGAAATAGATTCCTTCTGCCCTTGTATTGAGATTTCAACATAATTAAATAAACAAAACTTTGCCATGAAAGCTTCATGTCATGCAGGGGCATTAAAGAACTGAAAAATGCTGCATTATTCTAGGCTCACAGAGCCCAAGTTCCACATGGGAAATAGCTGGAGTCAAGTACCAAACACCTGGCAGAGATTGCTCAGGTGCACAAATGTACAGTCAGCCTGCATGTCCCGAGTCTGAGGCAAGTGGGAGGCTTGATAGCACTCAAAGAGAACAATGGGTGGTGGTTTATTTAGAATGGTGCAGAATTTTGCACTCCATGCTCTTATCTCTTCATCTGGCATTTCTGGTTCTAAAGGAACAAGTTGATATATATATTGAAAACCATTTTAAGTATACAAATCCTCAACTAACTTTTTTTAAAGAAGCCCATTCACGCAAAGCCCCCTTCTCATTATTCATCCTCCATTAGTATCTGTTGCACACCTGGCTGGCTATTTGGAAGAATGGAGAGTTAACTTACAGTTTGCCAGGCTCACTCCTCTGTAGCCATCCATTCCAAGTCTTTTCAAGGTTCTGGCCAGCTCACACCTCTCATAGACCTTGGCCTGGACGGCCACAGAGAGGAGGAGAAGCCCCAGAGTCAGGAGAGCCTTCATGTTGACTGTGAAGCCAGACCGCTCAGCTGGCCAGGGTAGGCTGGCCCCAGTATTTAACCCCTTTTCACTTCCTTCTCCTCCTGGTGGTTTGGAGGCTCTACCCCTTGAGATATGTGGAAAACGGGAACTATTTTTTGGTTCAGTGACTTCAAAAAATTAAAAGAATTAATCCACAGGAAGTTGATGAAATGGTATTGTTTAAAGACCTGGCTCAGGAAGAATTGGTATTAGCACTGTTTTCAAAACAGGAACTTTCTCTTATTTTTATGAATTTGAGCAACTCTAAAGAAAAAAAAAAAACACCACAAAAGAACACTTTACACAAACTGAAAATAAGGTCTGATTTTTCATTAATGTTCATTTCATTAAATTGTTTTGTGTGCATTCACTATGCTGTTTTCATCTTTTTTAACTTAAAATTATTTTATGTACTCTGCATAAAAGAACGTGACACCTTGTGTGTCATTTTAAGCCCTAACTGGTTTGGCTCAGTGGCTAGAGCATCAACCTGTGGATTCAAGGGTCCCAGCTTCGATTCCAGTCAAAGGCATGCACCTTGGTTGTAGGCACATAACCAGTAGGGAGTGTGCAGCAGGAAGCTGATAGATGTTTCTCTCTCATCGATGTTTCTAACTCTATCTCTCTCCCTTCCTCTCTGTAAAAAAAAATCAAGAAAATCTATTGAAAAAGAGAGAGAGAGAGAGAGAGAGAGAGATAGAGAGAGAGAGAGAGAGAGAGAGAAAAGAGGGGAGGGAGGGAGATAGATATAGAAGAATGCCTTAGTTTAGATAGTGTGTGTGTGTGTTGTGGGAGCGGTGAATGGAAGAAGATATTTGCAAACAACAGCTCTGATAAGGGGTTAATATTCAAAATATGTAAAGAACTCATATAACTCAACACCAAACAAACAATCCAAATAAAAAACAGGCAGAGGACCTGAACAGACGCCTCTCCCAAGAAGACATACAAATGGCCAATAGCTATATGAAAAGATATTCAACTTCACTGGCTATTAGTGAAATGCAAGTCAAAACTACAATGAGATACCACCTCACACCTGTTAGAATGGCTGCTATCAACAAGACTAATAAGACTAGTAGGTAATAAGTGTTGAGAGGCTCTGGCGAAAAAAAAGACCTCCTTCACTGCTAATAGGAATGTACACTGTACAGCCACTATGGAAACAGGTATGGAGTTTCCTCAAAAAATTAATAGAGTTACATATAACCCAACAACCCCGCTTCTGGGTATCTACACAAGAATTTTGAAAACATTTATTCACAAAAAATTTCTTATATCCATTATAGGATTATTCACAGTGGCCAAGACACAGAGACGAAGTATCCTTCAGTAGATGCTTGGATAAGAATGTGGTAAATACACACAATGGAAAAGTACTCAGTGGTAAGAAAAAATGAAATACTGCCATTGGCAACAACATGGATAGATCTTGAGAATATCATGCTAAGTGAAATAAGTCAGACGGGAAAAAGTCAAGAACCATATGACTTCTCATATGTGGGGTATAAAACGAGAAGCCACAAGTGAACAAACAAGGCCAACAGAAATTCCTAGACACAGGCAACAGAATGGCGGTTACAGAGGGAAGGGGGATGGGAGAATTAGCCAAGAGTAAAGGGGTCAAATATGTGGGTGACAGCCCAGCTGGTGTGGCTCAGCAGTTGAGCTTCGACCCAGGAACTAAGAGGTCACTGGTTCAATTCCTGGTCAGTGCACATGCCTGAGTGCCAGACTCAATCCCCAGTATTTCTATCTCTATCCCTCTCCCTTCCTGTCTCTCTACAATTCAATAAAGAGGGGGGGGGGCAGGGGAAATATATATATTATAAAATCTTCTGTCACTATATATTATATATTATTTATAATATATATATATATAGTGACAGAAGATTTTACTTTGGTGAGCACACAATACCATATACAGTTGATATATCATAGAATTGTACGCTTGAAACCTATATAATTTTATTAACCCAATCACCACTATAAATTTAATTTTTTAAAAATATTTTTTATTGATTTTTTTACAGAGAGGAAGAGAGAGGAATAGAGAGTTAGAAACATCGATGGGAGAGAAACATCGATCAGCTGCCTCTTGCACATCCCCTACTGGGGTTGTGCCTGCAACCAAGGTACATGCCCTTGACTGGAATTGAACCTGGGATCCTTAAGTCTGCAGACCAATGCTCTATCCACTGAGCCAAACTGGTTAGAGATAGATAAGCTTTAATAATGATGTTTGCCTGTGCAAAACTAGAATTTAATTTTCTCTCTCTGTTACAATAAAAGATTTCTCTGGACAACAGTGTGGTAATTGGGGTGGGGAGGCCTGTGCTGGAGGTGGAAGAGGGCATAGAGAGGATAAATGGTGATGGAAAATTAAAATAAATAAAATTAAAAAAATTTTAGAGATTTCTCTTAACCCGTTAACTAACTTGCCTGGGAAACAAGGATTCTGTGCCTCATTTGTACTTAGCGTCATTCCTTTATCAGGTCTTTGATTACTTATGGAAAACTGAATCTTCTCAATGTTCAAAGAGATTAGGTTTTTTACTTCCTGTATTTGCCTTGGATACTACAATTGTTCTTAACTGAAAGGCGATTGTGTATTTGAAATCTTTTATTGTCACTTCGGGTGAATAAATAACTCAAGTATTGTTTCACACTAACCTGTGATCCTGTTTAATCAGTGCTCAAACCTTTCAACGTTTTTTCACAGCTTCCCCAAATCAAATTCTAACGAAAGTTATTCTTGACCTTAAACTGACTTTGAGATTTCCCAAATGGCCTCTGGGAAATCTCAAAGACTTGTTCCCTGTCCTTATAAAGAGAGAAATATTAAACTAATCAGGTTTATTTGACATGTTAAATTACATGGGAAGCATGTCAAATGAAAACGATATTTAACAGTTCCTTGAGTTAGATTTTTATGGGTATATGTTACTAATACAAGTGTTCCAGAAATTGTGTAAAATTTCTAGAAATCTAATCTGTCTTACTATATAATGTTATCTGTCATAATTTCAGCTGTCATCTTAAAATGCTGTATGTCAGAGAAATCACCAACTTTTTTTTTTGCCAACTGCATTTAAATGAACTCTCATCAGATTGTAACCACACCATTTTAACTCTTTTATCAACCACAGATAATTTTTATTTTACTCTGATGTTTTGTGAAAACCCTTGAAACCGCTAACCCCAAATCAAGCAGAATAAGAATCTTACCTAATGGAAAAGAAACATGCAAATTAACCATCACTCTGCTACACTCACAGCCAATCAACAAAAATGAAGTTGATTTGCATATGCAGGCATGGAGGTGAGTGAAGCCTGCTATGAGGGGGAGAGGGGCAGCGGAGGAAGCTACTGGAGTGGTGCTCCAGACAGAAGGGAGGACTTGCCAGCTCTCAGGTGGCTGAGAGTGAAGCCAGGGGAAGGAAGGCCTATTCTTGCATGAATATTATGCAATGGTCCTCTGGTTAATTTTATGAGCCCTAACCAGTTTGGCTCAGTGAAGAGAGCATTTTGGCCTTCAATTCCCAGGTTTGATTCCAGTCAAGGGCATATACCTTGGTTGTGGGCACATACCCACTAGGGGGTGTGCAGGAGGCAGCTGATCAATATTTCTTTCTCATTGATGTTTTTAACTTTCTATCCCTCTTTCTTCCTCTCTGTAAAAAAATCAATAAAATATTTTTTAAAAGAATTAATCATATCGGATTACGTGAACTGATGAATTTTTTATAACTTTTTAATGATTTTTTTGTCTAATACATTACTGGAATATTTTGTTAAAATTTTTTTAAAACAAAAGGGATTTTCCTCTCCTACACTATACAAACACGTATTTCTACCTACATGTTAACTTTAAAAATGGTCATCTGAGGATGCTGTGCAATTTTTTAAAATCTATGTTGGCAGAACTCAATAGAAATTGTGCTTCCATCCTAGCTGGTTCTGCTCAGTGGATAGAGCATTGGCCTGTGGACTGAAGGGTTCCAGGTTCAATTATAACCAAGGGCACATACCTCGGTTGCAAGCTCAATCTCAGCCCTGGTCAGGGCATGTGCAGGAGGAAATCAATCAATGAGTGTCTCTGTATCTCTTTTTCTCTCTGTGTGTTTCTTTTTCTCCCTCGTTTCTACTCTCTCTAAAAGTCAATGGGAAAATATCCTCAGGTGAGGAGAAAGAAAGAAAGAAAGAAAGAAAGAAAGAAAGAAAGAAAGAAAGAAAGAAAGAAAGAAAGAAAGAAAGAAAGAAAGAAAGAAAGAAAGAAAGAAAGAAAGAAGGAGGGAGGGAGGGAGAGAGGAAGAAATTGTGCTTCTATATCTATTTATGAAGACAGATTCTGAGCCACACAAATGTCATTCTTTTGTTGTTACCCTAATTTTTTCAACTGCAGTCTCTTTCTGCTGGTTTCTAAGATTATTCACTAGTTTGACTCTAAGACACTACATGATTTTTGTGATTTAATAAAAAATTAAGAACTTTTTTCACTCTAGGACTAATTTTAATTCTTTTTTATTTTTCATATATGTTTATTGATTTCAGAGAGGAAGGAAAAGGTAGAGAAAGATAGAAACATCAATATTGAGAGAGAATCAATGATTGGCTGCCTCCTGCACACCCACCATTGGGGACTGAATCAGAAACCCAGGCCTGTTGAACCATGACCTTCTGGTTCATAGGTCAATGCTCAATCACTGAGCCACACCACCTGGACTTAATTTTTTAATTATAAGTAATGAGAGATTTCAGGACCCAAAGAGAGAGAAACCCGTTAAAATGAATAATCTTTGGTTCTCTTTACATGCTTTCTAAGGCAATGCTAAAGAACATGTAGAATATCTCGGAGAAATGACAAAATACCATATCCATGAAACAAGTAAAGACACTATAATAAAGAAGTAATCAGAGGATAAAAAAGGATCCCCTGGCCAAGACCGGTTTGGCTCAATGGATAGAGCGTCGGCTTGGGG